CATTTCATCACAACTTGTTAGTAACAATTACTTTGGGTTTTGTTTGGTTTTCAAAAAATAATGAAAGGTAAGAAAATTTTATATAATATCTCCTATATGATCACCTAAGAGAATTTCTCCTCTATGGTTACCTTTAATCATTCGCCTAAGAGAAATTTGGGATGGGACATTTCTCATACACAAATATGCATGAATACCTTACTTTGAAACAACGAAACATGTGGTTAGGAAACAGATAAATAAACCAAAAAAAGGAAAGAAGAATTCAAGAAACAGTTAAACAAAAAAAGTTGATGGGAAAAATTTTAAAAAAATAAAATAAAACAACAAAAATATGCTAGAAACTTCAACTGATAGCATCCAATAATTTATTTACTATAATAAATTGAAGCACATGCAACCACATTAAAACTTAGCTACAAATACAAACTTTCAATGCCTTTATCACTACGAATTTCAGTGATTAAATTCTTTCTACAGTTACCCAAAACCTAAATTGGTGGCAATAACTTGTTTACTTTCCCTATTTGTTTTTCCCTTTTTTTTTCTTTAAATTCTTAGCAACCAAACATTGCATCGAAAGTAAATGTTGCCCAAAATTGAACCAAAGGCATTAAAAGAACCATTTCATAAAACCCCAAATAAAGATAAACCAGAGAAAATAAAGCTATAGAAAACACCTATTCATGGAAACCAAAATAAGAGAGGGATGATACCATTAATTGGATTTGTGTTTCTTAACTTAATTAGTTATGTCTACCCAAACAACTTCTCATCCTTATCCTTCAAAAAAACTTTAAAATTCCAAATGATTTAATGAACCCAAAAAACCTCCTCAAACAATTTCTCATCCTTCATCCTTCAAAAAAACTTCTTAATCTAGCAAGGACGCTTGGGATCATACACCAAAAACAGCGTGTACAATTCAGATTCAAACTTGGGTCATCAAATGAGCTACAATTATCTTTTAGAAGCTTGCCAAGAACTGCTAAGGTCAGCTTACAGCCCAACAACTGGAAAGAGATTATATTACTACTGAAAATACATTACGTGTAAAACAATTCAAGATGTCTGGGGAGGAACCCAAAGAAAACAGAAGCAAAGCACAATTTCTTACCATGCATCAACAAAAGGATAATTGATAGCTACAACATCCATGTCATCCCTAGATGTTGCTATCCGTAATACCAATCTTCGAATCTGACCAAAACCTGAAAAAGTAAGCAATTTGAGTGAGTTCAGTTTTGTTAGCTATGGATCATACACCAACAATTACTTACAAGGCCAAATTTTTATCGAAGGAAAATAAATTACATACATAGTCAATAAACAGTTGAAACAAAGAATAGTACGGGATGTTGGTTGAAGAACAACTGTAGGAGGCATTGCAGTTGCTTTGATAGGCTGCATACTCCTAGCAATACATTTTCTGTATGCTTTAGACCAAATCATTCTGTGTTCATAACAATATAAGCCAACACTACTCAACTACACAAAGAGGAAACAGTGGATTACTCAACTATAAGGAAGATGGCTTGCTAGGAACAACAGTACCAAAAATGCTTGATTGAAACTTTGCAGAATTCAAATTGCGATTAAAAGACGACACCTGAAACGAAATAAAATAATAATAATAACAACAATGAGAGCAATTTCCATGTCGCACATTGCAATCCATGAGTAATGAAAACTAAATGACATAATGTGGAAACAAAATTAGAACAAAAATAAATAAATAAAAATAAAAAATACGCATACAACAGAATTGAGTAAAAAAAACATTATACTATTAAGAAATCATTAACAAAGAAAGAAAAACAAAGAAACAAACTCAAAAACATTCTAACACAAAACATTGTAACACAAATTTTCTAAAAAAACATTCTAACACAAAACATTAGCAGAAGTGGCACCAAACATTCTAACACAAATTTTCTAAAAAAACAAAGAAAGTTCTAAGGTTGAGAATTTAATTGAAAAAAAAAATAAAAAATTTACCATTAAAAAATCATTATACTATTTACCCCAATCTATCAAAAACAAAATCATTATACTATTTTTTGAATCAGAACAACCATGAGCAACCATAAAACAAACTCAAAAACATCACCAGCCACGTGATAACCACCATTATGGATTCAAAAAATAAGAATATATGAATATAATTTGAGAGCTGATATATACCAATCATGAAATTAGAATCAATAAACTCTATTCATTAGCAATCAAACATAATTAAGTGAAATTAAGGTTTTAGTTCACTCACGATTAGGGTTCTTCACTTTGAATCTTGGAATCTCCTTCACCTCGGAGTTGTCGACTTAACAAAGAAAAATTTTCAACTTGTATTGTTGTCTTGGCTGCAGTGAAGTAAAAGACCCTGATTTATGCTTGGAATAGAGCATTTGTAAGGTCCCGGTGTCCCACATCGGGAATGGAGGGGGAGTTCCTGAGTTATAAAAGTAAAAACCTAGACCCTTATATATCATCGAGGCCTTTTCCTGGGTGGTGAGGTCCCTAACAGAACTCCGCAGTTAAGCATGCTTAAGCTGGAATAGTTTTGGGATGGGTGACCCACTGGGAAGAACAAATCTGTGCGAGCGTGGCCCAAAGCGGACAATATCGATGACGTGTGAAGGGTTGGGGCGTTACAGCATTCTATGAGGAAGATAACCACAACATGAACAGATTTGGTAGAAATTACAAATATATATAACCCGTAAACAAAACCCTAAAATAACCTGTTTGAATCAAAACAACCATGAGAGAGAAATTAGTCAAAAAGAAAAATAGAGAGAGAAGGGGGAGAGACAGAAAATCGAGTGAAAAGGCTCAATCTTACCTTGCCAGAGCAGCGTCGGTAGCGTGGATAGCGAAGGGAGCCAAGTTCGAACGGTTGTAAGGGAAGGAGGAGCAGAGTAGCGAAGAGGGAGGATGGGTATCGAAGGGTTGGGTTTTTGCTGAATTTGGTCTTCCTCTTCAATGGCTGTAGTGAGAATGTGAGAGACAATGTGACGGGAGAACGTGGGAGAGAGAGAGTTGAAGAGAACGTGTTTGGGGACGTGGGAGAGAGGGAGAGATGAGCTCAAACGGGCGGGCACTAAATATATATAGACCATTGATCTAAATGTATATGTACTTAGAATTCATCTTGATCGTTAAAACCAAATATATACATTTTGGACATTTTCAAAAACCTTTCTCCCATATTATATAGATGTGATACCCTATTAGTATACAAAACCTGTTCGGTACTAAGGGTTAATAGATTTTTCGTATATTTTATTACCAAACTTTTACCCTAATTTTCTCAAAGGAAAAAAAAAATCTATAATACAAATCACTGTTAATTATAAAGATTGTGGCCTTAATTGTAGATTACGTGGTACACTTACTTACTTATGAGGTTTTGTAGTGGTAAATTTTGTAATAAACTTAGTTATGATCCAAATTGATATTCACTCTGTTGGTTTGGAGTTTTTAAATTTTTTTTTTTTAGTTTTTAGTTTTTCATATTTTAGTCATTTTTTAAAAAAAATTTAGATGCACATAATATAAATGCATTTAAAAAGTAAAATATCTATGAAAAATATTTATAAAAAAAATCGATAAATACAAAAAATGTACTGAAGTTTTTTTAATTTTTTTTTGTATTTGTGAATTTTTAAAAAGATTGACAAATTTTGTCCTTTTTAAATGTATGTATATTAAATAGATCTAAAAAGTAAAAAATACAAATTGATTAAAATATTTTAAAAAATCACTAAAACTAAAAAATATGGATTGAAAGCTCAAAAATTATTTTTGAAAACAGTTAAACTGATATTATACTCAATTTTATTTCATTATAATCCAATTTGATGAGAATTATAAACCACCGTAATTTAAATTTAACTACATAACTGTATACATATTTTTTCTGATACGTATACTACTTGAAAAATGTAATTATGTACACTCTTAAAAGAATACATATGCCATACTCATTTGTAAATACACAATAAAAAGTTGCAACGTGAACCATAAATTGACATGACATTTTTCTCCACAAAATATATAGCTTATTTTTACTTATCACAAAATCCAAAACATAACGATAAAATTTGCAAGACTATCTCTAACCTTTAATCAAAATTTTATTTGATATGACTTATTTCAATAAATAAACTCAAATTTAAACTTAAATTCACGACTTTGAAAATTTTGAATAAATATTTTAGTTTTATTTAGTTTGGGTAAAAGTTTAAATAAATTTAATTTAATATAAATTTGAGTCGAGAAGGAAAAGTATTTTGGTATAATTTTTACTAGATTTTAAATTTAATATAAAATTGAGTCAAGAATTAAAATGGCTTACCTATATTGCAAAAATTCTGAACTTTTTATCAAATCACACTTCAACTTTGTAATTTGATCTAATTTTTATTTTAGTCCGAATTATTTCAAGTTAAATAGTTTGGTTTCTACACTTTAAGTCTAATTTTAATTTGGTCATTTTGTTCAAGTTAGAAGTTGAAATTAATGATTTTAAGACGTCTGTCAATCTTGTAATGCTATGTTTGGATTATGCATTTGAAAATAGGACGAGAAATGAAGAAAATGATCCAAACATAGACTAAGGTGTACACATATATAGACTAAGGTGTACACATATGGAAAATTAACAAAAATATCAAATTGAAGATGGACTTAAAAATGTATAAATCAAACTATTCAAATAAAAACAATAGAAATTTAAAATAAATTTAAGTCAATTTATAGGAGTGAATAGTGAAAGGTTTTACACTGAGAATATTACTTTACTCCACGCAATTATAAATCCGTACATTTTGATCATTTCAATTATAAAAATATATCACTTTCATTTCTCGCAAACCCCCTCCAAGCCACTTTCAAAAAGAGTATATTTATACGATAATAATTAAATAGATTAATGTGTATGAGTTTATAAATAAGTATAATTAAAAGGGTGCAAAATGTAATTTATCCTTCTCTTACCCATAAAATCCTATAAATCGGAGACTCCTAAACAAAAAGCCCTAGCCTCATACATAGGGAGACAAGGGTGAAGGAAAAGCAAATTAGTCGCTGCAAAGTAGAGCAGCAGTCATCAAAGATCCGAAGCTTTTTCAGGTTATTTCCAGTCACCAAACCACTCTCTATTCTCTTTGTCGAACGATCTCAACAGCAAAAAAAAATCCCCAGACTTAGAACTATTGGGTTAGGGTTCTACAGGAAAAAAGAAAACCCAGTTTTTTTGTTGTTTTTTTTTTTAGTATTTATTTATTTGGTATCATTTTATAGATTGAGATCCTTTACCGCATGGGGGAATTTAAAGTTTTGCTGGAAATGGATTTTGCTTTATATATATATATATATATATAATCGTAATAATAAAATTAGTCCATGGCTTTACCAATGGAGGGATTACCAATGCTTTTCTACTCCTTATGAGTTAGAAAGTTAATTTCATATCAAAATGTGTTTCATGTCAGGTATACAAAAAAAAAAATATATAATTTAGAGATTGATGAAACTTTTTTTGTATGTTGGTGTGTTCGTGCTAATTCTTCTAGATATTTACCAATGTGTTTTTACTCTTTCCAAGTTAGAAAGGTAATTTCATATAAAAATACTTTCATGGAAACAAGTAGAGCTGAGATGAATATCTAACAAAAACATAATTTAGAGATTGATGAAACATTTTTTGCATGTTGGTGTGTTTGTTTTAATTCTTGATTTGTAATTAGTTGCCTGATAGATTGATGTAACTTGGGGTTCTTGTATACACACAGAGACTAGAGCAATTTGGTCACCTGGCTAAGCCATTCTTCATCACATTGCTTATCATTTCAAAGGATTGGGACTCAATAGGGACGAGAGACATGTCCCCTCAATCTCCGGGTAATTTTTATACTTCATTGTCATTGTTGGACATGTTTTTCTTCTTATGGATGTACATTCTTTGCTTTGGTTTATCTTGGTCGAGATTAAGGTTCACTATTTTTTTGGTTCTGAATTGTAAATAGCTTCCAACACTTAAAAACAATAGTAAATGCTTTTATAATTGTTTTTTTCATTTGGAATAATATAGGTTTACTTAGAAGTTGAAAGTTTTGATGGCATGAGTGGAGTCGGAAAAAAGAAACTAAGGTATTCTTTGCATCTCATTATGCTGTGTGTGTTTTACTTATTCAATTGTTTTATTTTATTTTATTTTATTTTATTTTATTTTATTTTTATGAGTGTTTATTTTTTGTTTTAATTTTTCAATCAATAGCTTATGTACTCTTGTAATAATTTTTCATATTTTACTTCGTAATATGATGAAATATTTTTCTTGGAGATAATTAAAAATACTTTTAATTGATTTTTTAACTCATGTATTGTTCGGTTGTTATTTCATTATTCAATAATTCCTCATCCACCGAAAAAGGTCAGTGTAACATTTTTATTATTTTATCTTTTAATTTTCAATCTCTTGCCTAAATAGTTCTAGCTTTCGACTACCATCTTAAATAATCCAGCCAAAGTTCTACAATTGAGAACAAAGTTAGTTTTACATTTAAAAATAAATAAATAAAAACTAAAATGGTACTTCTTTCAAATCCTTTGATGATTCTAATACATATTTTTTATCTTTGATTCTTGTTATTGCTAGAACAAGAGAATTCACTTTCTCCCATGTTGTTGCATGCCATGCTATATTTATAGCTTGGCTTACATTGCTGATTGGCTTCATTCAAATTGAGTATCAAAATAGATATGACTCTCTGTTCCAAACTCACTCGAAGAGCATGGGGATTTTTTTGATAGCAATATGCATTTATGGCTTGGCAGCCACTACAAAAAAATGCACTTTTGGCGACTAATTTTGGCGACTAAGAATTAATTTTGTCGGCATTGGTTCAAAAATGCACTTTTGGCGACTAATTTTGGCGACTAAGAATTAATTTTGTCGGCATTGGTTCAACGTCTAGCTACTAAAATATTTTAGTCGATAAATATTTATAATTGGCGACTAAATTTCAATTTAGTCGGCAAAAATTTAATTTTTTAACGACTAAATAGGATATTAGTCTCCGTTAGTGTACATTTTAGGCTTAAAAAAAAATTTAATCTGTAATATTGCTTTTTCCTGACTAAAATATAACTTAGTTGCGAAAGAGGATGTTTCGCGTCCAATATTTTCGTTGCTGTTGAGTGATATTTGGCTACCAAAGCATTATAGTTAGCATAACTGATTCCTTTCCCGACTAAGAATAAAATTAGTCGCTAAAGGTTGAAATTTCAACGCGCACCATTTCTTTTATTGCTGCGCGCGTGTTGATCTGCTAGGCAACAGTGGATCACACACAACTTCACAACAGTGTATCACACACACACCTCACCAAATCTCATAGAAATTAGCGTCCCTCACCGTAGCCTACTGTACGGGTGACATTGCGACGGCTACTGCTACCGCCACCGCCACCGGCGCAAATCACCACCGTCGCAGCCGCACATCACAGGTTCTCTCTCTCGCTCTCTCTCACGCGTCCGTCTCTCGCTCTCTCACACAGTCTATCTGTCTGTCTCTGTCTCTCTCTATGTCTCTCTCTTTGGCTCCCCCTTTCTGTGTTTCCCCCGTTTCTGACATTTTTGTTGTAGGATTCATTCAAATGTGGCTGTAATTGATTAAAAATTTTGAACATGATGTTTAATGTGTCTCTGTGTATATATGATGCTTTGTACACGTATTGCAGGCTTCTCTCTCCCTCTCTCTTGCTTGACCTCTCTTTCACAGTCTCTGTCTGTGTCTGTCGCTCTCTCTGTCTCTCCCCCCCTTTCTCTGTTTCCCCCTTTTGAGTGATTTACTTCTTGTGTTTTCTACACTCGCCTTGAATAAAGGCGCTTAAGGTTTGCATTGATTTATAGGATTTTCAAATTTATATCTATTTGAAAAATGACTTATGCCATTGATTTTTCTTTTACTATCTTGTTTCACCACCTACTTGGATATACTTGAAAAATGACTTCTTGCCATTGTTTGATGAATAATTATTAAGAAACTAGTGAACAAGAATACCCGGTGACATTAAACAGTGACTTATGTCATGGCTCACATTATCATAGTATATTTTCTCTTTGGTTGTTCAAATATGAATTTCAAGCAAACAAGATATAGAAGAGGTTAATGCAATTTATTTGAATTGTTTCTTATTATTATTAATTATGATAACATATTTATTAAGTAAAAATAATTTAAAAAATTAAAAAAATAATTGATTATCTCTAAATGTTTAAGGAATGATACTTTTCATTTCTATTGTTTAATTGTTAACTTTTAACTTATAATAAATAATAAATTGTATTAAACAGACTCAAACACAATGGTGGTGGCTCTGACCTCAAATCCCTAGAATTAGACTAAGAATATTTTTATTTTGCTGTCCCTATACTCACGACCATTAGAGTATTAAAAATTTTACTAATTTGCAACCATATAGATACTATAAGATATAGAGATTTAACCATAGAGAATCATATATACTATAACTAACTCACCTTTCATTTTGTTCTGATATAGCTGGAAGTATCGACATAAACATGCATATAATTATAAATTTTACGGTGAAATATGCATATGGTGCTCTTAAAGTCGTGCTAGAGGGGAGATTTAATATAGGTTAAGTCAATTCTATTCAAGATCACTATATCAACATGTTACGTTGATATTCTTAACCATGATTAATTGCACAAGTCTGTGAATCAGAATCATCTATTTCCTTGGAAAAGATGAAAGAGAAACCTAAACTCCATAATGAATGGATTTATCATCATTATTATTATTATTATTTTATTTTTAGCTAAAGTTATTTGCAAGGAGTGATGAACTGAAGTTGATGAATGATCATTTCAATTTAAGTCTAAAATAGCAACAAAATGTGAGAGATCGATGATTTCGATGTGCTTGTTCTTTTCTTAGAATATATATATATATATATATATATATATGATTAAGGCCGAATTGTACATCATTGAGGCCGTTAATTACGATCTCTTAACTTCACTTGTCAAAATGTATACTTTGTGTGTTGAATGTCAATCAGGTTGTACATAGTCGGAGCATAAAATGGGCAAAAAGACAGAATTTGGTGAGCGTTGACTTTGTCCGCACGTGCGTTGACTTTGTCCGCACATACGTTGACTTTTTCTGGGAAAACGTGCCAGATGTTTTAAACCTGTTTGGAAAGACACCAGAAATATAAATAGGCAAGAAAAAGGCTGGATTAGGGTTCTGGAGTTGTTTTGTCAAGAAAGGGAGGCTAGGATTTGAAAAGAAGAGGAACTTGAAACTTCAAGCATATCTTCCATGGTGGCTTCTTCTCCATCTACCTCCTTCCGCTCCTCCATGAGTAGCTAGTCTCCTTTTCTAGGGTTTTGATGAAATCCTAGCCATGTAATAGGTTTTTCTTTTTGATTTTCAATTATGTAAAGGTTTGAACACTTGTATGGTGTTTTAGAAGTTTTATATATATTTTTTCCATTATTTCTTCAAATATTCGGCTTTCTGTGATTGTTGAATGTTTTCCATACAAGAGTTTTTTATTCTTTCACATTCAAGGTATGAGACAAATCATACTACGAGAGACGAGTCGTATCACTACTTTAATTTAGAGTGAACGATTCATACTACTTGAGATGGTTCGTGCTCGTACATTAAACGTGATGATTTTCTTGTTAAATGCTTTGAATTTGTAGTTACGAAGCATTATTCTGTTCGAACCATAGCATAATTGTTTTCAATTTAAAAACCCTATTTACGTGACTAGTGGTGGACTTTTCGCCCTAGGTTTTTCCCCAATTCAGTAAATCCATTTTCAGTTATAATTGATAATTTAATTATTTTATTTAATTTATTCGTTATTAAATTAGGTTATGATCAATCATTCTTTTCATCAAAATTCATTTAGGAATTTATGAATTAAATTAGTTTAATTTCACAATTGTCCCTGTGGATCGATACCTAGATTTGCCATTATTCTAAAAGAATTTGGTGTAGTTTAGTGTTTAATTTTGGTGTGTTCAACAACCCATCAAATTTTGGCGCCATTGCCGGGGACTTCTGGCGAAATTAGTTAATTTAAAGGTATATTCTTATTTTAATTTTAAGTTTAGGATTTTATGTTTTCGTGTTGTTAAGTGTGCATAGCGTTTGAAATTAGAGCCATCACCGAAGTGCAAGCGGAGCGCAACCGAGCTTTAAAAAAAAAAAAAAAAACCGTAGCACTAAAGTACGTAAACAGAAGTAAACACTCGCAAGCAAAGTACCAAAGTGCTAAAAAGCAAGACGAAGCTCAATTAGAGGTTGGAGACAACGTCTACACGTCAAGCACCGGCAAGACGAGTAAAGCGTTTTCGTTAAACCGCTGAGTATTTCTCCCTTTGGTATTTTGCTTTCATAACTTAGTGCACAGAGTCGGAACTTTTTGTGTGTGTGTGTGGGTAGTATATGCACGGGCATCGTTCTTGTCGCCCTGAATTGTGGAGTTTGGACCTTGAACTAGAAAGGACTCTTCGGAAACTTAGGGCCTCTGCCCGTGTTCCTAGGCTTGAGTATTCATATTCATACATTGAGCCATTAGAGATGGTAGATCCAGATGTCCCGAATGTGCCTAACTGGACTCTTAAGGATTATTTCACACCCACTGCATATACATCATCGTCTTGTATGCAATTACCCAACACCACTACTGCTCATTATGAGATTAAGTCCAGCACCATACAAATGCTTCCATCATTCCATGGACTAACTCATGATGATCCTTACAAACATTTGAATGAATTTCTGGAAATTTGCTTGACAGTGAGGATCCAGAATTTCACAAATGAGGTCTTAATGTTGCGATTGTTTCCATTCTCATTAAAGGATAAAGCCAAACACTGGCTGAATTCCTTACCTGCTAATTCAATCACAACTTGGGACCAATTACAACAACGGTTCTTGGAGAAGTACTTTCCCATAGGTAAAATCAACCAACTTAGGCGAGCCATCACAAACTTTGCTCAAATGGATGGCGAGCAAGTCTATGAGACGGGGGAAAGACTTCGAGACCTTCTCTAACAGTGCCCCCACCACCAAGTGCCTGATTGGCAACTTGTTCAAACAT